GTGTACGAATATAATCCGGCGTGTACATTTTTCTTTTACTCGAATCGTTTTTTTTTTGAAATCACACCCGTCTATCTATCTGCTGATGAGTTGAAGGGATTAGGGTCACCGTGTCTGAACAATACGGACAGCTATCAAGTTCAACTGCTCTCTCAGCTCGCCTGCGCGGCGAATTCGAATTTGCGGGTGTACTCTATGACCAGATTGAGGCGGCGTTTCCCCATCGTGGCGCGCGGACAGAATGGTTCCAAGGCGCGTTGGGAGTTGGGATTCGGAAGGCATAAGTGGCCAGGCGTATCATCTTGGGGGGGCGTGTACAAGGTAAGTAAGTACGCTCTTTGAAGTTTTTGTCGCTAGACCCATGTCGAGCCTGTCGGCTGCGCATTCCTGTGCGTAATGTCATTGCATCCACCCAGCGAGGATTTTGCCTGCTGCAAGGAGGCATCGCATTCCTTTCCGGGCGTGTACAACACAACTCTTCTTTTCTTCATTTTTTTCTTTGATTCATTCTTGAAATCCCACCCATCTACTTATCTGCTGGATAGATTCAAGGAATCAGGAAGTCGCCCATGTCGCAAGGAATCAGGATGTCGCCCATGTCGAGTCAGATGCGCTACAGGACTCGTTCCCGCGTGTCATTTCATCCATGGCCAGCGAGGACTCTTTTACCTGGCGCTGTCAGGGTCAGGGTAGAAACTGCGACGGTGCTGCGGGGATGCATCGCATCGCATTCCTTTACGCTGCTGTTCTTTTCTCGTTCGGCAGCAGACTTTACCTGGGTCCTCCCCCGCCGGACTGCGGCCAGGCTGATACTCATTACTGTACTCAATACCCGTCGGCAACTCATCCGAGTCGTCGGGCAGGTCGTCGGATGAGTTGCCGACGGGCAGGTCGGCTCCCGACATCCCGACGGACGTGATCAGTCATTAAGATTTCGTCAACCCGCGCTGTGCACGTTCAATTTTGGAGGCGGTGGTTGACTTGCACAGCCCGCGGGAGCTGCGGCCCAAGGTTCAGTCTCTGCTTTGTACTCCGATGCCGATGGGACATTTAAATACATGTGGCCACCACAGTTGGCCACACTTTCAATTTCCTCCACTTACTTCATCATGTCGACTACGACGACTACGGCTACGGCTACTACTACTACCTCCACAAAGACCGTGGCCAGGGCCAGCAACGAGATGAAAGGGACGCTCCCGGACGACTTTACGATGCATAACCTGAGTGGGCGGTTCGTGCTCGTGCGTTCGATTTCCCTTCTTTCTTCCCTGCTTTCCTCTGCCTTCCCTCCTCAACTCCTTCCTTCTTCAGTCCTTCCTTAACTCCTTCCCTCCTTCTCCTTCTCTCGCAACCTTTCAACTCGCTAAACGTGTTAATTGTTGAAATACTTAGAACAAACCCCTCAGCTCCCCCGACCCATTCGGCTGGATACCCGCCCGCGCCTCGCACCATTCAGACTCGTTGGCATTACAAAGCGCGATCGCAGCGGGTGTCCTCTCCTTCAACCACTTCACGAGTCGGGATGATGGGGTGGAGCAGGTGTGGGTGCATCAGGTGCGCCTCCCTCCCCCTTAGCAGTCTGCGGGTTCTGGAAGTGATTAACGCGTCGTTTATTCACAGGAAATCGCGAACACAAGCACGACGGAGGAAGGCTGGGTCCTCAACCGCCCCGCGCGCCTACGGGACCCGGTGGATCCCGTGTTCGGGCCCGCTGTGTCGGGGGTTGAGTGCGCCTTCTCCTCCTTCTCCATCTCCCTACTCCATCTCCCTACCCCTCCTTACTACCCACTCTCGTGCCGAAGTTGAACATCGACTGATTGACTGAATTCCATTTTGGTTTAGGCGCATCAACCTCCCAAACCTAAAACTCGAAGAACCCCCCTTCCTGCGCGCGGGGTGGACGCCCGACACGCGGAGGCAGGGCGTGTTAAGGTGTACCATGCGCAGCGCCGCCGCGGAAGGGGGTGGGTGGTGCGTCGTTGAGACGTGGGGGATCGAAGGAGAGATTAAATCAACCGGGGGCGGGCGGCGGTTCTGCAGACACGTCGTGTTCACACCTGCAGCGCATGAAGGGGAACATGAGCAGGGACGGGAACGGGAGCAGGAACAGGTGGAGAGGCATTTGGTGTATGACTATCGTGAGTCCTACTTTTAACTTTTACTTCCCAGTGGGAGCGTTAGCTGATCTCGGGGCGGCGGAGTTGGCGGGGTTTAGCTTGAATGATTATCAGTTCGTGGTTGTGGTTGGTTGGTTGGTTGGTTGGTTCACTTGGTGTATTATATGTTATACCCCGCTTCGTGTATACTAGAGCCGTTTTCGACAAGTCGGCGGTTATCCTACCAGATGCGCTCCGAGATGGGGACACTCATGTTCGCCTTCCTTCCCTCGTTCGAATCGAGGCCGAGGCTTTGCACCACGGCAATGAGATCATTTTCTTCCTCTTCAACCTCTTGCTTCAACTCTGCGGAACGCCTGCCAAGAATTGGAAGTCCATAGTAATAAGCTCAGCTCAAATTGTGGTGGTTGAAATAAATCTGCTTTGTCCCGCGGTTCAAATTTGATACTCACGCTTCGGGACCAAACAAATCCCACCCAGCTGGCTCCAGCCCAAACCTAACATTAATCAAGGAGGCTCGGTGGCGGGTGGTCCGCAGCTGCATTCCCTATGGTAATTAGCAACGAGGATTATGCGCAGAAGGTGCTCGTTCGAATCGAGCCCGAGCCATTTGGGCTGGAGAATGGATTTTTTTTTCTTCGGTGGGAAGCTTCGTACTTTGAGGTCGATTGGTTCACAATTACTTACACGCGTAAGTTTAGTTTTGTGGTTGAAAAATAATTCGCCGTTCCTTCGTGCTTTTGGCAAAGATTGTCGGCGGTGCGGTTTAATCAATACCGATGGTCGTGGGGCCGAATCTCACCCAGCTATCCAGAGCTCAATTGCCAGCAGGAAGGTTCAGTGGCGGTGGTCCGCATCTGCACCTGTTAGTCGGATACATACAGTGTATGCAGAAGGTACTCGTTCGAATCGGGCCCGAGCCATAGTAGTGGTCTTAACAAGACGGTTTTTTTGCTCTTGAGTGCTTCGCACTCAAGCAGGTTACATCTAACTGTGCGTACATAAGTTCAGTTTTGTGGGTTGAAAAACATTGCCGTTCGTTCGATTATCGGCGGCGCGGTTCAATTGACAATTTCTACTGCTGAGACCGAATCTCACCCACCCATCTTGAGCTTACTGATAAACAGAAAGGCTCAGTGGCGGGTGGTCTGCATCTGCACCTATTGATTGACTTCGACGTATCGTATGCAGAAGGTGCTCGTTCGACTCGAGCCCGAGCCATTGGGATGGCGAAAAGAAGGATTTTTTTCTCTTCAGTGCACTGTAAGAAGGATTCATCATGAAATTTCAGCACAATTCTCCTGAATTTCACATTTCATGATGTTTTGTCATAGTTGGGGGGTTGAATTTCATATGATGCCATTCATGATGGTTGAACTCAAGGTTTTGGGCTTTTTTGAACTGCATTGAATTCACGACGATTCATCATGAATTCATGATGTTTCAGTTTTTCCCAGGTTGTGGAGCGGGGTGGGGCCTGCGCCCGGTGGCTCGAGCAAGGTACAAAACTCAGGTCATGACTTGCCAAGACTACTACATGTGTACGCGCGACTTCATAGTTGTTCAAGTCCAACTTAGCAATATACCAGCCCTCATTAATGCCTTTGAATTAGATTACATTACGTTCATACATACATAACTTTCAGTTCATTCAACCACCCGCGGTAGACATCGTTCAAGCAAGGCCTGTAAGCCATTGATTTTTCACTCTGGAAAGCCCATTATTCAACACGAATCGTTAGGAATTTCAGGATGATACACCGTGAAAATATGTCATGAAATGTTCCTAAACACCTTTTGAAATTCAAGAACTCTGTTCATGATGAAATGTCATGAATTCCTAACAAAACCTCGGGGAATTCATGATGAACCATGAGGAACTTCAAAGCATAAGGTCATGAACAACATGCTGAAATTCACGATGGTTCGTCTTCACAGTGGTGGGAAACTTCGTACTTTTAGGTCGATTGGTTCTCAATCAATCACACGTAACTGTGCGTAAGTTCAGTTCTGGGGTTGAAATTCGCTGTTTGTGGGGTTTTTTGGCGGAGATTACATATCGGTGATCAATGGCCGAATCTCCATCAGCAAATCCTGTTTTTTGGTGTATAAAGGGTACCCTCTATATAGTACTATGTAGCGCTCATAGTAGACCATAGTTGGATGTAGTTGGATGTAGTTAATGGGCTACTATGTAGTACTACATAGTACTATGTAGAGGGTACCCTTGAACACAGGGTTTGCTGATGTCATCCCAGCTATCTTGAGCTCAATGGCCAGCAGGAAGGTTCAGTGGCGGGTGGTCCGCATCTGCATCCATTTTCCAGGTCTCCATCTACATGGTAGACAGAAGGTGCTCGTTTGAATCGGGCCCGAGCCATCGGGTAGCGGTAAATGGGGTTTTTTTTTTCTTCAGCGCGCAGTGTCGTGCTTCTAGGTCAATTGTTTCACAACAACTTCATAACTGTGCGTAACTTCAGTTTTGTGGTTGAAATTCGCTGTTCGTTCGTGTTTTTGATGGAGATCACCGGTGTTGGGGTTTGGTGAAGACCGATGGGAATAGAACTTGAATCTCTCACCCATCTCAAACACAATTCAGGAAGGCTCGGTGGCGAGTGGTCCGCATCTGTATCCCTTCAGATAATTGTAGTAGCGGGTTATGTGCAGAAGGTGCTCGTTCGAATCGGGCCCGAGCTATTCCGTATAGGTGATGGTTGTTTTTCCTTCCTAAGCCCATAGGTAGCTTCGCTGGATTCGAAATGATTCCACACCGATCTGTTCACAATAAATCTACAGACTGTTGTTCAACACTTTTCCCGCCCCCATCCATATACTGTCGCCCCCATACGTATCTGCCTCAAGCTCAAGCTCAGCTTGGAAGGCTCGGTGGCGGGTGGTCCGCATCTGCATCCATTTGCCAGGTCTCCATCTACATGGTAGACAGAAGGTGCTCGTTCGAATCGGGCCCGAGCCATGCCGGGTCGATCAAGCTGTTTGCTGCTCCTCAGTGTGCAGCGTCGGCCTTTTTCGGTCGATTGGTTCACAATTACTTACATGTACATAACTTTGCGTAACTTCAGTTTTGTGGTTGAAATTCACTGTTTGTGGGGTTTTTTGGCGGAGATTATCAGTGGTGCGGTTTCATCGATACCGTTGACCGAATCTCACCGGGCTATCTTGACCTCAATGGCCAGCAGGAAGGCTCGGTGGCGGGTGGTCCGCATCTGCATTCATTGGGTTCGACAGTTGGATTTATATGTAGAGGGTGCTCGTTCGACTCGAGCCCGAGCCATTCCGTAAGGTGGAGGATTATTTTTCCTTCAGTCCATAGGTAGCTTCGCTAAACTCCAGGTTGGTGGATCATTTGACGAAGGGGGTTCAACTTGCGGTTTTTCGACCCCATGAAATGGATTCGTGTTCATCCAGCATTGGCTACACCGATATGATGCTGGTGAAACAAGGTGTCGGCGACATGAAGGCGTAGAAGTAGGGTCGGCGTGCACAGTGAACAGCATGACCTCGCAGAGCGAATTTCACTCTGGAACTTGTCGCTCGTTCAATTCGAGCTCAGGCCATAGATGCAGGTTCAGAACCCTTTTTCAATTAGCAAGCAAAGCAAAGTATTCCATAGGCAATTCATCAGCGGTCCCCCTCAAGAAGGTATGGCAAGTTCCAGTTGGTTTAAAAACAAAGCAAGCAAAGTAAAGTATTCCAGAGGTGGTCTCCCCCAAGAAGATATGACAAGTTCAGCTCAAAATCCGGCGCAGAGCGGCGCCGTATCTACAAGAGGGATGTTGAACCGATGCTCCAAAGATGTTGATTCAAGCCAAACATTCTCTCCTCTGCGTTGGATTGTAACATGAGTTGTTGGAAATTGAAGCAATGAAGGCATAGGCCTGGTGCAGAGTGGTTCTGTGTCTGCTCGTACAGGTGTTCAGCAGAAGTCGCTTGTTCGATTCGAGCCTGAGGCGTATTCGAAATGTCCAAGTGCTTTGATTCTTTTTTGCCTTGGAAGAATCAGAGTTCGTGGGGGATCCGCCCCTCGCAGGATTAATCCAACTTGGATGGTTGAAATTAATTTGCATGGGAAGGTTGAGCGTTGAACGGTTGAACATCGGAGCCAATATTGGTTCGATCAACCAAAATCAACCTCAGTTGACTCGGACTTTTGCCCTGCCAAACTGGCTTGCACCTGCGACGATTCCGTTTTTTGGTTTGGATTTATGGGCGGATGGTCAAACATGTCCGATAAGTCCGATGATATATGATGAGCAGCGTCTTTCGCCGAGCTCGGAACACGGCAATTACGGACCGAGTTTGGCACTTACCTCCGAACCAAACAACAGGCCTCTTGCTCTCGACCCAATCTCGACCACGCCGATTCCTTGCCATCCCTCGCCGTAATCCAGCAACTCTCGCCTTTGGCTCGGCAACTCAATCTTTGGCTCTCCATCCAATGCTCCCTCTGACCCTCCGCACTCAAAATCCTCCGTCTTACTCAGTCGCTTGCTCAACTGGCCAGCTGGGCTTTTCTTCCAACGCGCGTCGAAATTCTGGGACTTTGGCTATTACTTTACTTCCATGAGAATCGGACCCTCTAGTTGTATAACCTCTGTACTTCAACCTCCGAACGAAGAGTTCTTCTTCTCGCACCTCGACTTGAATTTGAGTCTATAGCGCTCGCATTCGAGCTCTTCATCTTAGCTCTTGTCGTCTCTCTTCCCTCGTCATCGCTCGTCCTCCCCGCTGTCCTCGTTGCCGTTCTCTCCTGCAGCCTTCGTCGTTGCTGCTCTCCTCCTTGGTCCTTCGGCCAATTTCCCCCACATCACCTCGCGCGAGCCCCGGCTTTCGCTAAATCGACCTCGCACAGCACCGCACTCTCTACGGCCCTTCGAGTGGTCCCTCTCTTTCATTCCCCACCTCTCTGTTAGATTTTTAGCTCCCTGCTCTCCGCTCCCAGCCGCGCCGTAGGCGTATCAGCGCCAGCTTCTTAGCTAAATTATGTAGCAAGCTAGCTGTGGACTTTTCTCCCTGGCGGACAGGAGGATTCGCGGGTGACATGCGGAAGCAATTCAGAAATGAGACCCGCGATCGAGAGGTCAGCCGCTTTGCTAGACACCGTGCCCCTAAGTAGCATCTTACCTTCGCACACAACCATCTCCTACACCCAATGTCGAGTAGTCTCACCGCGCACGCAGCCGCAGCCGCCACGGCGCCTCCTGGCCCTGGGAGCAGCATCCGCTCCTCGCTCAGCTCCGCCCAATCCCATGGCCAATCCTCCTCACACCCCCGCCGCTCCTCCGCGTCCTCCTCCTCCGCCGCCGCCACCTCGCCCGCCGGTCGCACCTTCCCGCTCCCCCTCGCAATCGACACACCCTACCCGCTCCCCGCACCCATCCCGCCCTCAGCGCTCACGATGCCCGCGCCCTCCCTCGGCTCCGACGCGCGCCTCCCGCGCCCCCCGCCCGGCCGCGGCGCCCCCGTCGTCGACTACAGCCCCACGCGCTTCGGGGAGGCGTATTTGAAGTCCAAGGACCGGGTGCCGCAGGGCGAGCTGTTGGGGCTGGCTGGCCATGGTTGTGGGGTGCCGGAAGCGGACGCGAATTTGAAGGTGAAGAAGAAGCGGGGACGGGGGTTTTCGCTCGCGTCGTTGCGCGGGAAGCGTGCGCCCGAGCCGGCGCGGCCGTTTCATCCCGCTGTGTGTTTCGATTGGTATTGAGCGGGGCCGTGGCCCATGGGACTGGTTAGATTTGTTTCGTTCCACCGGCGAGACGCAGGCTGACGTTTTTGTAGTGCGCCGCATGAACGAACCCTTAACACCTATACGCCACCACATCTACATTCGACTTCGACTTGGCTCCCTTTTGGCACGAATAGAACGAACGAACAGACGAAACGAAAACGAAACGCAGATTCATCCATCCATCCGTCTACTCCATTCACTCCTTTTGCCTCGACGTACCCTGCCATCTGTATCCCACCGGAAATTTCAACGCAACGAAAGAGCGTATACTTCTCTACTCTTGGGTTCGATATACATACATATGTGGATCTGTATCTCTGTAGTTAGATTTTGAACCCCGATGCTGCTCAGACGCTGGTCTTTGGAAGCGAGGAAAGTGACTCGAGATGTCTATGGTAAAACTGTCCGCAACTCAACGATAAGTAACATCAATGCAGCCAAATCTCTTCGTCAGACCACAGCAACGATGCCCTCAACCTCCGGCGCAAGTCCTTTCCACACCTGCACCATCTCCGACCACACCTTCGCTTGAACGGCCACTCCTTTTGGCTTCCGGATCCAGGCGGGAGGGCTGCATACGACGAATTGAAACAACTGTAAGCGAGCGACGAGGGAAGAAAGATTATCTGGAGTGAAAATGACATACGGGGAGACGGCAGCAGTGGAGACGTAGGCGGCCGGCGGGGTCGGGACGAGCATCGCGTAGAGCAGGTTTAGGGCGCCCTTTTCGGGCGTCCAGGCGATTTTTGCGAGGAGCCATCTGTATCGTGTAGTGAGCGGATTATTTAATTACAGTGAAGCTGACGCTGAGGAAGCTTACAGAACGAAGGCGGGGAGGGCGAGGTCTCGTCCGATTTCACTTGCGCAGAATCCTGGGTCGACGACGCTGCGACCGACACGTGGATAAGCTGGGTATATTATGATTTACTTCAGCACTTACTTGACGACGACGCCCTCAGCCTTGGGCAGAGACGCAAGTTCGCGCGTGATGAAAAGGTTGAAGAGCTTGGTTGTGTAGTACCGATCCATGATATCGCTCTTGTGCTCGTCGTTCAGAGCCGCGAGGATGTTGGGCGCGGATCTTTCGGGGAATTTCGGGAGGAACTGGACTGTGGCACGACAAGTGAGTGAGTGGAAAGGTACAAGGATGGAAGGAAGAAGAAAGATGTACCGGAGGAGCCGGTGATGGTGAGGTGCGGAGGCGTCTGGAGCGCGTCGGGGTGCGGGGGCGGGAGCTTCGTCGTCTTTTGGAGGAGGGGCAGCAATAAAACCGCCAGGAGGCCCGTGGAAAGCGCGTTGACCTGCAAACTAGCAAATGATTGGAAGTATGGTTGGAAACCCATGTTGAGTCAGACTCACGTCCTCTCCCATCCATCCGCCGTCGCTTTCCAGTCCCAAACCTCGATTCCCGCATTGAGGTTCGCCCCGTCCAGCCTTTCCAACGCGCTATTCGCGCGCGCCGCGAACCTTATGACGCTCCCAAAATCAGCCATGTCGAGCGCCCACACCTCCAGCTTCCCCTCGAGCCCCGTCTGCGCAATGATCGCCTCCTTCGCCTTCTCGCCCTTGGTCAAGTCGCGCACAGCGAGGATGAGCAGCGCGGGCTGCAGGCGCGCGAGGTGGAGCGCGAGGCCGAGCCCGATTCCGGTGTTGCTGCCCGTCACGAGGAAGGTGCGGCCCGGTTGGGCGGGGTAGGTGTGTGTTTCTGGGAGGGTGGCGAATAGCTGGTCCCGGAGGAACTTGACGAAGAAGCTGAATGTTTGGCCCATTGAAATTGCGAGTGGAGGAAGGCGGGAGGAGGGGGAATGAAGAGATCGAGGTGGATGTCGGCGTTTAAAAGAAGGCGACCATAAATCCCGATTTTTCGGGATACAACTGAGGTCAAGTTGAGGTTGGTGTATGCATCTCGTCACTGTAGGCCGATTTTCCGGACAGCCGAGGGTAGGTAGCCCGGATTGAGGGTGAACGAAGTTCCAGATCATAGAGCAAAGCAAAGGGAGTCGGAACCGGAGACAAGCTGGACGATATCTCGAGGCACGCAAGAGGAACATGAGGGGAAGGAGCAGGGTGAAGCCTTGTTGAGATGTGAGGATAGCTCACGCGTTGATCCGCCATCATTTGTTCGGCGATTTCCGAGGTCCTTCTCTTCCCCTCATCTCCATTCTTCACATTGTCCCGTTCAAGGTCGGACAATGACCCCGTTGAAGGTCGAGAGTGGATACTCAAGCAAA